TGGACGTAGATACATCTGCACAATTTTTTACCTTAAAAATGTTTCGTCGTATTCTTTGAAATAACCCCCTCCTATGCAAATGCGTGTCTAAGGTTAGTGCCACCCGGGTAGGGACTAAATTTTTGCCACGAAAAAACTCTGCAGTGAGCCGAAAATTCCGCCCCTTCATATCAAGAAAAAAGGTGCAGCCGGGATGAACCCACACCATCCATTCTACACAAATGCTCTTGTGTCATGTACACATCTAATTGCCACGTACACATTCTTTGGAACACAAGTAGCAGTGAACTGTCACTCACAAATGTTCTTGTGTCATGTACACATCTGATTACCAAGAACTCTCAAAGGCATTTTTTAAAATCTAAATTTAAGTCATTATTGTCATCAGGGGAGTTCATGGATAGCTGATTTTTACGCCAAAGAAATACTCTAGATGTCGTGTGTTTAAATTGTTGTAATTGTAAAATGTTGTCTTGTTTAAAATATGTATTTATTTACGTGCTGAAAATGAATATGTGCAATGTAATAAAAAAACATTTCAATTTATTTGAATCAATAAAATATTCTTATTTTATCTTATCTTAATACTCAAACACAAGCACACACATTATTTATATAAATATTGCGCCCTAAGTGCACCCATTTGTTTGTGTCTTACTTCCTTAACCTGGCACTGAAGAAATAAGTTGTAAAATGAAAGGAAAATATCCACACCCCTGCTCTCCCTCCCCCAGGCCATAAGGTTACCGTTGGGCATTTCAAGAGGAATATTTATATAATTTGTTGTCTACGTAAACATATGAGTATTCATATGTTGTTTTTTTATGTTGTTGCCATGTACGAAATGCACTCAGTACTCAGGTGTGGACCCTCCATTAGTATATTGAAAGATATTCCCATGAACCAATAAGTGTCCATGTTATATGCCCTGTGATGCCCTCTCCCTTTTTTCGACCCCCACGCTGAGCTACAATATTAATTAAAGTGTATGTGTTTTTCCGAAATTACAGTGAGTAGTATTTTTTACTCTTTTATCTTGTGTTCTGTCATACTAATATATATATATATATATATATATATATATATATACTTATAAAGGGCACAACAAACATATGGCGTATGAAACTTACTGGGTGAGGAATTCTCTTCAGTAGAAAAGACACAAATTATGATATAAAGCATTGCAAAGTATTGTTTCGGTATGTTTTTAGTTCAAAAGTTGCCTTGTAAAACTATTGACTCATGAACCAATCAGCGTTAGGTTAGGATTAGGTTAATGCTATGTAAAATTATTGACTCGTGAACATTTAGCGTTAGGTTAGGGTTAGGTTAACGCCATGTAAAACTTTTGACTCGTGAACCAATCAGCGTTTGGCTAGGGTTAGGTTAACGTCATGTTAAACTATTGACTCAGCGAAAATAAACAATTATGTCAGGTTATCCACTATGCTATTCACTAGATAACTTATTATGTCATGTTTATCCATTGTTAGTCACCCCTTAACTTAATATGTCAGGTTTATCAACAATTTTATTCACCAGTTAACTTATTATGTCCGGTTTATCCACTATGTCATCAACTATGTTATTCACCAGATAACTTAGTCGAGTTTGTAGCGCCTCCAATCATCGTCACACTGATGTTGGCTGGATTCATAGCATTCCTCATCATATTTCGGTATGTATGCTCCATATGATCATTCTTCATTTTATTTAGATGCCTGTCACTTATGGCATATGACATATGTCATAGTATTCCTCATTACACTGGACAATAAAACAAATAATTGTGTCTGCAACACTGTGCACCATGTGTTGCGTTGATTATATTAAATTGAGTGCACTACTGTGTCCCATCTGTTGCGTTGCTTATATTAAATCAGGGTGCTCTGAAGTCGGATATTGTGTAGTACGTCGAAATCTTAATTACGTTAACGAGCTGACATGTGAACATTTAAATTGTGTTTAGAACAAAACATAGTGTTATTCTTTTTAACACTTGAAATGAAAATGCCAATTTAACCCATTTCCAAATTTATACATTAGTTTTGTTTTCTTAAGTCAAGTCATAAATTTAAACAAAAATGTCCAAATCTCTCAAATAGTACAATAAAATGTTAGACAAAAATATTATGGTAATGTTTTAAATCTAGAATTTTTCTCAGATGAAATACTACATTAAAAATGTTCGTCCCCAGCTTAACTCTATAGGGCCTACTATTTCAAAAGTGGGTTAGGCACTCTCTCTTGCACGTGTCAGTGACCACTGTTAGGCACTCTCTCTTGCGCATGTCAGTGACCACTGTTAGGCACTCTCTCTTGCACGTGTCAGTGACCACTGTTTGGCAATCTCTCTTGCGCATGTCAGTGACCACTGTTAGGCACTCTCTCTTGCACATGTCAGTGACCACTGTTAGGCAATCTCTCTTGCGCGTGTCAGTGACCACTGTTAGGCACTCTCTCTTGCACATGTCAGTGACCACTGTTAGGCAATCTCTCTTGTGCATGTCAGTGACCACTGTTAGGCACTCTCTATTGCGCATGTCAGTGACCACTGTTAGGCACTCTCTCTTGCGCATGTCAGTGACCACTGTTAGGCACTCTCTATTGCGCATGTCAGTGACCACTGTTAGGCACTCTCTCTTGCGCGTGTCAGTGACCACTGTTAGGCACTCTCTCTTGCGCGTGTCAGTGACCACTGTTAGGCACTCTCTCTTGCGCGTGTCAGTGACCACTGTTAGGCAATCTCTCTTGCACGTGTCAGTGACCACTGGTAGGCAATCTCTCTTGCGCGTGTCAGTGACCACTGTTAGGCACTCTCTCTTGCGCATGTCAGTGACCACTGTTAGGCACTCTCTCTTGCGCATGTCAGTGACCACTGTTAGGCACTCTCTCTTGCGCATGTCAGTGACCACTGTTAGGCACTCTCTCTTGCGCATGTCAGTGACCACTGTTAGGCACTCTCTCTTGCGCATGTCAGTGACCACTGTTAGGCACTCTCTCTTGCGCATGTCAGTGACCACTGTTAGGCACTCTCTCTTGCGCATGTCAGTGACCACTGTTAGGCACTCTCTCTTGCGCATGTCAGTGACCACTGTTAGGCACTCTCTCTTGCGCATGTCAGTGACCACTGTTAGGCACTCTCTCTTGCGCATGTCAGTGACCACTGTTAGGCACTCTCTCTTGCGCATGTCAGTGACCACTGTTAGGCACTCTCTCTTGCGCATGTCAGTGACCACTGTTAGGCACTCTCTCTTGCGCATGTCAGTGACCACTGTTAGGCACTCTCTCTTGCGCATGTCAGTGACCACTGTTAGGCACTCTCTCTTGCGCATGTCAGTGACCACTGTTAGGCACTCTCTCTTGCGCATGTCAGTGACCACTGTTAGGCACTCTCTCTTGCGCATGTCAGTGACCACTGTTAGGCACTCTCTCTTGCGCATGTCAGTGACCACTGTTAGGCACTCTCTCTTGCGCATGTCAGTGACCACTGTTAGGCACTCTCTCTTGCGCATGTCAGTGACCACTGTTAGGCACTCTCTCTTGCGCATGTCAGTGACCACTGTTAGGCACTCTCTCTTGCGCATGTCAGTGACCACTGTTAGGCACTCTCTCTTGCGCATGTCAGTGACCACTGTTAGGCAATCTCTCTTGCGCGTGTCAGTGACCACTGTTAGGCAATCTCTCTTGCGCATGTCAGTGGCCACTGTTAGGCACTCTCTCTTGCGCATGTCAGTGACCACTGTTAGGCACTCTCTATTGCGCATGTCAGTGACCACTGTTAGGCACTCTCTATTGCGCATGTCAGTGACCACTGTTAGGCACTCTCTATTGCGCATGTCAGTGACCACTGTTAGGCACTCTCTATTGCGCATGTCAGTGGCCACTGTTAGGCACTCTCTCTTGCGCATGTCAGTGGCCACTGTTAGGCACTCTCTCTTGCGCATGTCAGTGACCACTGTTAGGCACTCTCTATTGCGCATGTCAGTGACCACTGTTAGGCACTCTCTATTGCGCATGTCAGTGACCACTGTTAGGCACTCTCTCTTGCGCATGTCAGTGACCACTGTTAGGCACTCTCTCTTGCGCATGTCAGTGACCACTGTTAGGCACTCTCTCTTGCGCATGTCAGTGACCACTGTTAGGCACTCTCTCTTGCGCATGTCAGTGACCACTGTTAGGCACTCTCTCTTGCGCGTGTCAGTGACCACTGTTAGGCACTCTCTCTTGCGCATGTCAGTGACCACTGTTAGGCACTCTCTCTTGCGCATGTCAGTGACCACTGTTAGGCACTCTCTCTTGCGCATGTCAGTGACCACTGTTAGGCACTCTCTCTTGCACTTTTGAGTGACCGTTGTTAGGCACTTTCTCTTTCAAGTGCCCGCTGTTAGTTACTTTGTCTTCCAAGTGCCCGTTGTTAAGTACTTTGTCTTCCAAGTGGCCGCTGTTAAGTACTTTGTCTTCCAAGTGGCCCCTGTTAGGTACTTTGTCTTCCAAGTGGCCGCTGTTAAGTACTTTGTCTTCCAAGTGGCCGCTGTTAAGTACTTTGTCTTCCAAGTTGCCGCTGTTAAGTACTTTGTCTTCCAAGTGGCCGCTGTTAAGTACTTTGTCTTCGAAGTGGCCACTGTTAAGTACTTTGTCTTCCAAGTGGCCGCTGTTAAGTACTTTGTCTTCCAAGTGGCCGCTGTTAAGTACTTTGTCTTCGATGTGGCCCCTGTTAGGTACTTTCTCGTGCGCTTGTAAGTGGCCACTATTTCCCGCTGCAGAAACTAGAAGTTATCCCCCTCCTAATGCTGGAGAGGCCTCAATATTGACACAATGCAAGCGTGCTGTGACGACACAGGATGTCCGGTTTTAGCGCTTGAGAAATAATTTTATGTCTTACGTAAACATTGTCCAGGTTGACTATCTTGAAAATTTACATGTGAAATGATTTTAGATGGTGGAAGAGGGAACGAGAGTTGTACGAGACGCTATGGAAGGTGAAATACTCGGAGCTGAACTTCAACATAGCACGAGGCCCGTTGTCCCAGGCGGTAAGTTAAGTTACCATAGTCGCGTAGACGTATTTGTTCTCTGTTACTGTTAATTTAACTTACGAAATTGTTAAAGAATGGTATCCTACCGATAAAAAATAAATTCAAACACATACTACTACATAGTCCTAGGCTCCTAGGCCTAGTTAGTAGGCCTATTTATAACATAAATAAAATATTTAATTTTGCTACATAGACTACCTACATAGTCCCAGTTAGTGTTATAAAAGGGATTCGGTTATAAAATAGGCCTATAACTGAAATATTAAAATTTACTTCATTTATTTAGGCCTACAAGGCTACATACATAGTCCTAATTAGTGTTTTAGTAGTTTGACTGTTTTACAATACATTTCAATACAAGGAAAATAAGCATTTAAGAAATAAAGCTACATTGGTGTGGTAAATGGTCTAACATTTCTTCACTGAACATACTAGCATGAAGACAATGTTCTAACATTTCTTCACTGAACATACTAGCATGAAGACAATGTTCTAACATTTCTTCACTGAACATACTAGCATGAAGACAATGTTCTAACATTTCTTCACTGAACATACTAGCATGAAGACAATGTTCTAACATTTCTTCACTGAACATACTAGCATGAAGACAATGTTCTAACATTTCTTCACTGAACATACTAGCATGAAGACAATGTTCTAACATTTCTTCACTGAACATACTAGCATGAAGACAAGATCTATATCAGTAGATCAAATCATCTGAAACAAAACAACTTTCCCAACCCCTATTTGCCCCTTACAGCAGTTTTTCTGAAAATAATTTAATAATAAAGAGTCTTTTATTAAGCTAAGTTAAATAGTTCGGGCTGTCGCGAGTCAGTCAGTTAAACCAGTTTAGGTTTAAAGAATCAGTCAGTCAAACCAGGTTAGGGTTAATGAGTTAGTCAGTCAAACCAGGTTAGGTTAAATAAGAGTAAGTCAAACCCCTTTCTAGAATATATAATATATTTGTTGTTTTACTGTCCCTATCAAAGCTGTTGTTAAAATAATTTTACTTTAAGTAGTCTATGTTGATCCTTTCCACTCATTGCCTGTTTATTGATTCCAGGCCATCTCCAGTGTGGGCAGTAAACAGTCTCTGAATGATTGTTCTGACAACAGGTCAGAAGTTTCCACAGGAAATGTATCTGGTTACTCCAACCTGCGACCTGATAACATGATTATGATAAGTCAGATGTTCACTTTGGTAAGGTTTGTGACATGTGTTAGGGTTAGGGTAGTTCACTTTGATAAGGTTTGTAACATGTGTTAGGGTTGTTCACTTTGGTAAGGTTTGTGACATGTGTAAAAGTGAAGGAATTTAGTTACATGCACTTCTTGTAACAAAGGCGCTTGAAAAAAGGGGGGGGGGGAGTTTGCAAGTACTTTATGTTTTTTCCTACTTATTTATTTATATCTTATTTTTATTTCTACCTTATTGTCTTTTAATTTTTTAGAAGTACAAACACCCTTACTCAAACCCTTACTCATCTGTAGAGAAAGGAATTCTAGGAATTAGGCCTATATTTTGGTTTAGGGGGCACATAATTACTCATATACATAAAAGAATCACCTTCATTAAAGAAAAACACCCTTACTCGACTGTTGAGAATTGAATTCTAGGAACTGGGCCTATATTTTGGTCTAGGGGGCACACTCATATACCGAAAAGAATCACCTTCAATCTAGAAAAAAGTACTCGTCTAAACGAAAAAGTTCCTTAAAAAATTTCTTGGCTCTTTTTCCAAAAACAATCCCTTTGGAATTAATTGTCTTTTTTCATCTCAAAAGCTTAAAAAATAATCCAAATGGAATTTTACTTTTTCTTCGGGAGGTTAAATATGATTCAAATGAGAATCAAATATTTCTGCAAAAGATTCAAATAAAAATTGAATGTCTATTTTTTCAACCTAAAGCAAGCTTAATATTAAAATCAAATGTCCAGCAATAGAAAAATCAAGTCTGCCCTTTATTAATATGTTTCCCTAATTTTCAATGAATTTTAAATGCTTGATTACTGTTGACCAGGTTGCAAAACTAAATGGTGACCAGGTTGCTGTGAGAAAAGTGCGCAAAAAATCAATTCGTGAGGACAAACTTCTGTTGAAAGAAATGAAAATTGTGAGTATGTAGATATTCAGTCATTTAGCTATGTCAGTTGAAATAAGGGCTCTAGAACAAAATATTTATTCATTGGCAGCTACTTTAAGAGATGTCTGCAGAATTAATTTTCTATTCTGAGGATTCTTCTGTACAATTAACTTGCATTTTGGGTTAGGGTTAGGGTTAGGATTCTTCTGTACAATTAACTTGCATTTTGGGGTTGGGGTGAAGGTGTCTTTTATAATTTCACTTTTAATAGTCATTAGCCTTTATACGATGTTTATTAGTCTTAGAATCATCAAAACTAATACAGAGGCCTCATGTTGGTAAGACCTACTACTGTTTAAATGAAATTTTCATGTTATATATATCCTAATTTTTATTCTTTGTTCAATATTTCTTTTCAAATAATTTTGCTCTTGATATTTCTTCTTGATTAACTATATCTATTTACATACAAGTTAATTTCTTGGAATAATCTACATCCATTTACACATAAGATCTTTCTTAAAATAAACTACTTCTATTTATACACAAGCTACTGCTTTGGAATAATTACATCTATTACACACAAACTACTTTCTTGCAATAAACTACATCTATTTACACACAAGCTATTTTCTTAAAATAAACCACATCTATTTAGACACAAGCTACTGTTTTGGAATAACTACATCTATGTACACACTAGCTACTTTCTTGGAATAAACTACATTTATTTACAAACTACTTTCTAATGTTAAATTTAGTTTTTGAATCATGTTTTGAATGTGTTATAATCTTAAATATTAAACTTTAAAGCATTCAAATCTTTAAGGTAGCCTTCTTTGGCTGCTTTTTCTTGTCAAACTAAATAAGTAGAAGCAACTTTTAAAAATAAAGATACCAAAGAAATATTTGCAAAATAACCCTTTCCTGAGCTGGGAAATTTATTTTCTCAAATTTCTAATTCTTAGAACTTATTTAACTTTGTCTACAGATGAAGTCGCTTAAACACACCAACCTTGCAACATTCCATGGGGCCTGCACTGAGAGTCCAAACATCTGTGTCTTATGGGAATATTGTAGTAAAGGCAGTCTAGAGGACATTCTGCACAACACAGACATCAAACTGGAGTCCATGTTCCAGTTCTCTATAGCCCTGGATATCTGCACAGTATGGTCATTGTTTTTTTAAAATTAAAACTAATACTTTCTAATAACAGATTTTCAAATGGCACTGAATTTACAGCAGTTCTGAAACAATTTATTTTTTTATCTACAAAAAGCCATCTTGCAGTTATTGATTTTGGAAAAATTAATATTCAAAATAATACAAAACAAGAAAAACAGATAATGAGAAATGAAAATTTAAAAAATTATATGTTAGAAAGTCTCAATAAGGTCAATGTAGCTCTTTATTACATCCTAAAAGTCTCAATGAGGTCAAGGTAGCTCTTTGTTACATCCTAAAAATCTCAATAAGGTCAATGTAGCTCTTTTTTACATCCTAAAAGTCTCAGTAACCAAAGTTAGGGTTAGGCTGCTAGAAAAATAAATATTTAGGCTTTTGAGTTGTAAGTAATGGGGGAAAAAAATTAAACACACCACAAAGCTCACTTCAAGGCCGCTCACTTCAAGGCTGTGTCAGCCAATAAAAAGGGAGGAGCTGGTGGTGAGGTAATCATTATATTTACAGACCAATAAAAATAAAAACGGAAAAAAATATAAGTCAAGGCGATGATACATAATTCAAATTTCAAATTTATAATCTTAAATATTTTGTAACAGCATGTTTGAGCAAATTATTATTTAATTAAAACCGGTATAGTAAATTGCACAAGCCCAGAAGATGGTACTCATATTGATAAGGATTAAGAACTATTTTCTGCTTTGTTTTCAGGGTTTAAACTACCTACACAACAGTGAGCTAGGTGTGCATGGGCGTGTCAAAACTTCCAACTGTGTGGTAGACAGCAGATGGGTGGCCAAACTGACAGACTTTGGGCTACAGAGATTAAAAAAAGGGGAAAAGCCTGCAGAGGAAACAAGTACAGAGAAGTTTTACACCGGTATGTTGGAGAATTTTATCTTTCTAACTTGTAAACGTTACTATGGAAAATAGCTGAACCAATAACATTTTATTGTGATTTATTACCGATGATCATGATGAACTATGATAGATTGTTTCCAAGATAAAACACACCACGGCATTCTTTGTACACATTTATCTGCCCTTTGATAGATTACTACAGAAAGGATTAATCTGGAAGTTAAATAATGCAGGCTGTATTAGTGGTTAAAATTATTCCTTACTGATCCAAACAAAAATAAATTTTACCACCTCATCAAAGTGTGTCCTGGAAGAAGGGTTGCCATAGTGATGAGATAGCCTTGTGATGTTATATACTGGCTGACACACTGGTATTGGTGCAAGAGATCTTAATAAAGATTTTACCAGGCTAAGGGTAAACTGTGGAAAATGGAAACTGATGTTTTAATCTATGCCTTAGACAGAATATACTCAATCTTCACTTAAACTTAAATCTACATTGTATCCCAACAGAACATCACACTATCCTTACACTATTTAGACACACTATCCCTACACTATGTAGACACACTATCCTTACACTATTTAGACACACTATCCCTACACTATTTAGATAGGCAACTGAATCCAAAATAATTGCTGCCAAAGTCATGAACGTTTTGCCTGCACACAGGACACGTACAACTTAATTCTAACTTTAACTACATAAAACCAGATAAAACACTTATGTGCCCCCTCTACTGATGTGTCCCCTCTACTTATGTGCCCCCTCCACTGATGTGCCCCCTCTACTGGTGTGTCCCCTCTACTTATGTGCCCCCTCATACTTATGTGTCCCCTCTACTGATGTGCCCCCTCTACTGATGTGCCCCCTCTACTTATGTGCCCCCTCTACTGGTGTGTCCCCTCTACTTATGTACACCATATTCTTATGTGTCCCATCTACTTATGTGCCCCCTCTACTGATGTGCTCCCTCTACCGATGTGCCTCCTCTACTTATGTATCCCCTCTACTTATGTGCCCCCTCTACTGATGTGCCCCTTCTACCGATGTGCCTCCTCTACATATGTATCCCCTCTACTTATGTTCCCCCTCTAGTGACAACCAAATTAGACAGCAACATATAATCTTAACATTCTATGAATTTCCCCTTAACTACCTACCAAAATGTCCAACCTACACCTACATCCTATATAAATACAGGGAAAAGCTACAGAGACTGTTCACATTCTACACCATGCCCAAATGGCTACTTCATTTTGATGATGATGATATGTTTATTAAGTTTGGAGCAATGCTGTGGACCTGCTTATTTTTAAAAAGTGTATTCATATGTTTAAATTAGCCATTTTAATCTATGGACATTTTTCTAAATCTGATGTGGTATCATCCCATCACAATATGAAACTTGCAGATCTGATGTGGTAACATCCCATCACCATAATGAAATGTAATATTTTTCAGATCTGTACTGGACTGCTCCTGAGGTCTTAAGGAGTATATTAAACAATGAGAAGCCAATGGAGACTAAAGAGGCAGACATCTATTCTCTGGCCATAGTATTCAAACAGCTGTTGTGTAAAAACACTGCATTTAGTGAAGAGATTAATTACATGACATCTAAAGGTAAGCTGATTACCCAGATCTTTGATAGGAACTACTAAGTGTCTAGTGATTTATAAAGAAATATACAAAAAAAAAGTTAATTTTGTAATGGTTTAAATTGTAATTTATTTATAAGAATGTTAATTAATGTGCTGAATTGTTTTCAATTCTCCAATAATCCCTGGGCTTTTGTGAAGAAATGTTCATTTCTGCCACACATTAACTGTGCATTTGCTTATATTTTGTGGCTCTTTCTGATGGATAAGGATAATAATCCCTATGGTTTCAATCTTTAGTTTGTGTTCATTCACCGACATGAAACTTGATCAGGGATGCTTTAATTTCAAATATAAATTTGAAATATTTAACATGTAATTAAACATTTAAGACAATTGCAAAGTTTGTATTTATATTTGTTTCAATAAAATTTTTACAGATGTTTTCAGATTTCATCCAGCCTCTTCCATTATAACTGGAAACTCATTTTAACTGGAATCTCATTTTCAATTTCAATTTATTTCTGTGCTTCCTTTTCAGAAATAATTTTGAGAGTTGCAAACATAGAACTAGCTGCAAACCATTTGAGACCTCACATAAACTCTGAATTCCCTGAGCATCAAGCGGTTATGATGTCTTTTGTAAACCTGATCAAAAGTTGTTGGGTTGAAAACCCTGCAGAAAGGCCAAACATAAAACGAGTTTTAGGAAATATGAAGAGGATGAGTCCTTTGAAGTTAGTATTTTTTTTTTACAAAATTCTCTAGTGATAAAATTGTTTTATTTCTTTAAAAAACATTATTTTATCCAGTCACAACCGATATTTTTAGTTAGGCCAGCAACTCAAATTTATTTGGTAATTTTTCAAAGCTAATAAAATATTCTATGTCTTGTTTCAGGATGACTGGAGTATTAGATAACATGTTAGCATTAATGGAAAGATACTCAACACGCCTTGAAGATCTTGTATCTGAAAGAACTCTTCAGTTAGAAGAAGAAAAAAGAAAGACGGATACTTTATTATATAGAATGCTCCCAAGGTATATTGCTAAAACTATTTTATTATTTTCCTCATGTTATTATAATAATGAATCAGTTTTGTTGACATTACTATCATAATAATGAAGCAGTTTTGTTGACATTATTATCAAAATAAATTATAATTACTCCGTGTTGTTGAATTGTTTCAAAGTATACTTTATTACAGCACATGTGTCATTAGGTTAAGACTTGTGTCAATTAGATTTAGACTTGTGACAATTAGGTTTAAACTTGTGTCAATTAGGTTAAGAATTGTGTCAGTTAGGTTTAGACTTGTGTCAGTAAGGTTTAGACTTGTGTCAATTAGGTTTAAACTTTTGTCAGTTAGGTTTAGACTTGTGTCAGTTAGATTTAGACTTGTGTCCATTTAGTTTAGATTTGTGACATTTAGGTTTAGACTTGTGTCAGTAAAGTTTAGACTTGTGTCCACTACGTTTAGACTTGTGTCAGTTAGGTTTAAACTTGTTTCAGTAAGGTTTAGATTTGTATCAATTATGTTTATACTTGTGTCTATTAATTTTGCACTGATTAATTTGAAGAGAATTGATTATTTGCCTTATATGCTATTTGACTAATTTGCCATCTTTTGTATATCAGAAATATCTCTTAAAATATTATATGTACATATAGATTTTTTAATTGGATGGTTGGAATTTCAATAGAATTGTATGTTGTTTTATCAAAACAAGTTTGTGAAATTTTGAAGGCATGGTCTTTTTTCCACTGAATAGTACTTTCTTCCTGTACTTGCCAATGTGTTAAACATGAAAACACTTGATTCAACATTATAAAATACAATTTATTTCCATACCCTTATGATTTAAATAGCTTCATATAACATAGCCAATTATTATGATACTTTAGTTTAGTAATTTACTATCCATACATATTGAATTATCTCAAATAAATTAATTTTCACTCATGTGTGACCATTTAATAGGCCAGTAGGTATGTCAATTCAAATAAGTTTACAATTTTAAATTGGCTTTAAGTATGTCAATTCAAATAAGAATTTAACATGTGTGGTGCAAACAAAAGTAACCTTATGTTATGTCTTTGAATGTGTACAGAAAAGTAGCAGACGATCTCAAGGCCGGCCAAAATGTACAGGCTGAGGCTTTCCAAGATGTCACCATTTATTTCTCAGACATTGTTGGGTTCACAACACTAGCAGGGGAAAGTACTCCTATGGAGGTACAATTCTTTTTACTGAAGTGAATATATTATTTTTGACAGCGGGGAATTATGTTACTTAAAAATGTTTTAATATATTATTTTTTATAAAGGAAATACATTATTTGAGTTTAATGTAACCCATTTAAATGTAAAAATTGACCATTTAAAAAATTTATTATTGATGAGTAATGAAATTCTAACCAGTTTAAGTACATGGACATAAGACTAAGTTCATGTAAATATTCAAAGTTTACATAAGTTGCATGTGGAGAAAAAAAATTATTATTCTTATCAAACACTTAAATAATACTTTTTTTATATTTTTTCACAAAAATAGTCAAAATAATTTGGTTTGGTAGTAATATCCTTATTTCCTGGGATTTCAGATTGTGGAAATGTTGAATCTGTTGTACAGTCAATTTGATAATATTATCCAAAATTTCAATGTATACAAGGTAAATTTAATATCTCATCATTATAATTATATTATCAATATTAAATAACAGTTTAAAAGTTTTAAAAAATGTGTTTATTTTTCACACCTCTGTAAGTGCATGAATTATTTAATTAAAGGTTATGCATTTTCAAAATATTGTCACTATAATGTAGATTACAACTTACTAACAATACTAAACTAAAAACACAATGCCCACTGGTAGATTAATTTTTATGTGCAAATCTCAGGTTGAAACCATTGGTGATGCCTACATGACAGTTTGTGGTGTCCCTGAACCTAATCCTGACCATGCACCTGTCATGGCCGACATGTCATTAGCTCTGCTAGACTCTGTAATTCATTTTGTCATACCACATCGGCCACATAATCAGCTACGGATAAGGATTGGTGAGATGATTTTTTTCAAGAAATTAGGCTTTCCTATATAATCATGAAATTGGATGCAACGTAATAAAGCTCACAAAAAAGGTTAAAATTTAATGGATTTAAAAGATATTATTTTATTCTGCAGGTTTGAACTCTGGTCCGGTTGTAGCTGGTGTTGTAGGCAATACGATGCCTCGCTACTGCTTGTTTGGGAACACTGTCAACTTGGCTTCTAGAATGGAATCTCAAGGAATGGGTACGAATTTCTATTTTTAAAAGTCACACCAGAAAATTGGCCTAGAATCTTTTGTTAAGAATGTTGTATCTTTTTTAAAATAAATATGTTATTTGTAACAAATTGATTTGTCAAAGTCTCAAATTAAAAGTGAACACAATTTCTATCTCTATTTATATTAAGATTTTATTTAACTGTAAATTTCGATTGCTTCAACTTCAGGAAAGAAATTGAGAGTTGAATAAAATATTTTATTTGGATCATGCAATCCGTTTGGGTAGAACAATGCTTAGCAAAAAAATTTCACTTTTAATATTTTATGTAAGAAAGAGTTTAATGTATAAACTAGTCAAAAAGATATGACTCCATCTTCCCCACTCAAATTCTGGTGCCCTAATATTGCTTATTTGAGTGATGTAAATGAAATTTAATTTCTGTTTTAGATCTATTTCTAAGTTGTATATTAAAGTATAGCGACAAAGTTATAAATGAAAATAAAATTGAATACATATAATTTTTATAATTATATAATTTTTTATAATTTATGCTTTATAATTTTTTTCTCAATGAATATACAGCTCAACGTATACAGATTAGTTTCTACACTTATGAAATATTAAAGAAAGATCCAGACTTCATCATGGTGCCCAGAGGTCTAGTTGAGATTAAGGTAATGCATTTTCAATAGATATCGAATTTAATGTAAAAACACTTTTTTACTAAGCAGTTGACACCAATAGCTTTACCTTTTTCTTTTTTTTTTGTTTATAAAATACTTATAAAAATACTTAACTTTTTAAAATCAGGGCAAGGGCAGAATGCCAACCTACTGGCTAATGGGAAGAAGATCAACTATGCAGTTTAACCAAGAAATTGATGACCACATGAAATGTGCCAATATTATCCACAACAATGGACAGAATGAGGAGGCCATCAGTGACCTAAAGCTGCTTACCAAAGGGAGACAGGGTACAGAAGATTGTCATGAAAGGGGTCTTGATGATGATAAAACTAAAAGTCCACCATTTGTTGATTCAGTAAATATGACATTTTTGAGCTGGGCTGTTGTAACTCTGGTTCCACAATACAGCTGCAGATAAATGAGAGCTTATATTATTTCATTAGCTGGGCTGTTGTAACTCTGGTTCCACATTACAGCTGCAGATAAATGAGAGCTTATATTATTTCATTAGCTGGGCTGTTGTAACTCTGATTCCACATTACAGCTGCAGATAAATGAGAGCTTATATTATTTCTTTAGTCAATATTTTAACCTACAAAGCACAACGGAAAAAATACCTGCCTTATATATTATATATGAAAGGAAATTATATTTGCAATGATAAAACAAAAAAATATAATAAACAAAATTAAAAAAAAACAATAAGAAATAAAATAATAATAATATTTCAATTAATATATAAGTTAACTTTCAAGCAACAAAAAATATAACTGCTGGGCCTGTCCCGAATCAAATGTCTCAGCTATACTCTTTAATAGATTTGAATGTCTCAGCTATACTTTTTCTTAGATTTGAAAATCACACGGGATACAATAAAGAAGATAACCAAAAAATGTTGCTTCTTTTTTAACAAGTCCATGTAGCAATACCATTTTTTCCTCTGCATGTATGGCGGTTGTAATGTGCCAATTAAACTAGCAGATAATTTGTAATATTGGATGTATTTTGCTTATAAATGTTTAGTGTCAGGCATATACCTTTTGCTGTGGCTTTTATCATTGTATTAAATGTATTGAGATTTCTAATTAAACTATTTGTATAGGTATTTAAAAATCACACACTTTTTAAATTTTTTAATTCAACCTCTTTCAAATATTGTTTTAATAAATAAAGGGAAAGAAATATTTTTTTAGTGATATTAATTTGTGGATAAAAATGTTAAAACCAAAAATTATTTCATAATTTGTTTAATCTGAAATAATAATTTTAAAGTAAAGTTTTAATATGCTAAACAATTAATATTATAAATGTCCTTCTTGAAAACACAGATTCAAATAATCGAAATCTGTTTTGATATGTCCTAGAATTTTCTTTCATGGTATGAATTATGAAAATAACATCTAGAACAGCTACAAACTGTCCCCCTATTTTGATTCTAATATTTTTATCTTTTAAATTATCATATTAAAAGCTTTCTGCATGCATTGCTCTTTGGGTCAGTTTAATATAAGGCACTTATAAATACATTCATTCAATTCTAGTACAGAAATTATTCACACCTTTAAAATAATTAATCTCTTTTTTCTTCAGACAACAAATCAGGTCCTGAAGACAATGCCAAACATCCAACCAGGCATTTATCAACAGCTTCAAAATGTCCTAAAATGAATCTGGATACAACAGAAACTTCAACTGTAAGCAAAGAGGGATCTTTAAAACAAGACCGCTATCCTGATATAAGGCTTTCTGGTATTGCCAATGAGACCCCAGGCATGGTCAATGGCATTGACAAAGCTGACAATAGCAGCATTGACAAAGCTGAAAATAGCAGTATTAACAAAGCTGAAAATAGCAGCATTAACAAAGCTCAGGCTATTGCAGACCAGCTTCATGGCCAAGTTCATGATTGTCTTGATATAACTGATTATTCTCATAAATTTAAAGATGAAACAGACAATTACAGCTCTGAGGAACTTCCTATTATTGAACAATCTGACGACCAATCAGAGAGTGGCAATTTTGGCAGAAGTTTTTCTGAAAGGAGTTTTGGAAGCAATGAAAATTTGAAAATATTTCAGAAATCTAAGGATATTGAAATCCCACACCAAAATGGACAATTCAAAAAGACCACACCAACTGTTTCCACACCAACTGTTTCCATACCAACTGGTTCCACACCAACTGGTTCTCCACCAAAGCCAGAGTGGGCAGGACTGCCTCAATATAGAATGTCAAAGAAAGGAAACCCTAGTTGTATGGGTCAAATTTCTGTTACACCTGTCAACTCTGGGGATATGATATCTCACAAATACTTAAATGTGAGCACTCGTCCTGACTTACCCACCGTTCCTAACACACATAAACCTGGACTGATTACGAGCTCTCCAAGCTTATCAATGGCAAAATTTTTTATTCCAAAAGAAAAACATGTTGCCAAGTCTTTCTTGAGTGGAGCTAGGAATTTCCAAGACTATGAAAATGGTACATTAGGGGCTAGAGAAAAAGAGGCACTCAAATCGAAAGTGAGCCCTTATCAAGATTCAAATGTGCAATATTTTTCTGATGAAGACACACCGGAGCGTACTTCAGTGATATACTCTCCAAAAACTAGCACACAGAAAAACAGCCCCATTCAATTTATTCCAGGAAAAGAATATATTTTGAAGGCTCCAGCTTCAAAACTTGAAGGTACCAATGGGCTTAGCATACATGACACAGATGAAGGGGACATGAGAGAAAATAATTTTTTTTTAAACAAGCATAAAATAGCAAAACCATTAGACTTTAAAAGCATTAACCCCAGCTTAAAGAAAAATGATAACTTTTTGAGATATCCCAGCCATCCTCATATTAAACAAAGCTCAAACAAAAAACCCCATGAAAAATTAGGACATCACCCCTCTGACAGATCCCATCTACTTAACTCACCACATTGGAGCGGCTCACCACACATAAGACCCAAACAATTCGATGGTCATTTGGAATTTAATAAAAATCCATCGACCCAACACAAGAATCCTTTGGTTCAGCCACCCAACATGCCAAAGTCCCGCTCACTGGACAGCCACCCAACGTATCTAAGTCCCCCTCACTAGACCAGAACTCTGCAACCGAAGTGCCATGACACAATATTGTACAGTCAAATGCTGTCAGATGTGCCAGGGCATTATGGCTTTTGGAGGAGAAAATCCGCAGAGTTTATAGTGACATCAGCATATAGGGTTATAAAATATGTGCTCACAAATAAATTTGGCTAGTAAATTTGTCCCAAATAAATGGATGAACTCTTTAAAGTAAAAACCATTGTGCTAACACAGTTGAATTTTTATTTTCTTGCAAGGTCAAGAATGAGTTCCTACAATTCTCTGATAAATAAAGGAGGCTCAGCATTAGGAAAACAAAATTTAAAAAAAGATCTTAAGAAATATACCCAAGGTCAAAGATGGGTAATATCACAAATATGATGTGAATATTGGATTTTCTGACAATCTAGCATTGATGCAGCTGATATGCAATGAAATAAATGGGATCAGGTACCATTTTTGTATTATCTACATACAATTTTATACAGCTATTTTACATATGTGTTTGACAGGAATTTCTGAAATAAAGGAATTGTGGTTACATTGAAATTTAACTGCAAATGAAATTTAAAAAAAATTACAAGGTTTCATGCTTGGTAGAGTTAGGGTTGCTTGGTAGAGTTAGGTTTAGGGTTGCTTGGTAGAGTTAGAGTTAAGGTTGCTTGGTAGAGTTAGAGTTAGGGTTGCTTGGTAAAGTTAGAGTTTAGGTTGCTTGGTAGAGTTAGAGTAAATTCAAGTTGCTTCATCAGATATGAAACATCATTTTCTACTCGGCATAACCATCTCAAATGTTTCCAATATTTGTGTATGTTTGGTATGCCGTTAAATCATAGGAAGGACATAGGTGTGCTGTGAGAGTAAAAAGGTTGCAGAGCTTTGCACAAGATAACCACCCCAACATCCCTAAGACCCACTCACTAGATAACCACCCCAACATCCCTATGACCCACTCACTAGATAACCACCCCAACATCCCTAAGACCCACTCACTAGATAACCACCCCAACATCCCTAAGACCAACTCACTAGATAACCACCCAACATCCCTAAGACCCACTCACTAGATAACCACCCCAACATCCCTAAGACCAACTCACAAGACTACCACCCCAACATCCCTAAGACCCACTCACTAGATAACAACCCAACATCCCTAAGACCCACTCACTAGACAACAACTCAACATAAAAAAGTCCAACTCCTAAACTGC